GGCGAGCTGTGCAGTACAGAGTCAGAAGACAGAAGCTGGGTCAGGACAAGATGAGGTCAAGCCATGCAGGATAAGTGGTACCAAATCAGCAGACGAGAGGCAGATTAGTGAAACAGGCCGAGGTCAGGAGCAGGCGGAGAGCAGCAGAGTCAGAGGATCAACCCGGGTCAGATACAGGAAGAATCAGGAATCAATGCTGGACAGTGGCTGAAGAACTCTCAGCACTGTGTGCATGCAGGATGCAAGTTTAAATAGGCCTTTTGGTGCCATGATTAGATGTGAGCACAAGCACTCCAATCTGCGTGAACGCGCATTGGCACCAAAACTTCTCAGACGTGCATGTGCAATGGCTCTCAGAGTACCTGTTCTATGACAGCTTGCTGGGCTTCACTGACACTCTCCTCTTTAGTTTGGAGGACGAGGCGCCCATGGTTGCCAAAAAGAATGTCACATTCCGATTCACCTGACCACAGAACAGTTTTCCACTTTGCAACAGACCATTTTAAATGAGCTTTGGCCCAGAGAAGACTGCAGCATTTCTGGATCATGTTCAAATATGGCTTCTTCTTTGCATGATAGAAGTTTAACTTGCATTTTTGGATGGCACGACAAACGAATCATGGCTGTTTTTAATGCAGTGCCGTCTGAGGACCCGAAGGTCACGGCATCCAATATTGTGTTTTGGCCTTGTCCCTTGCACATAGAGATTTCTCCAGATTCTCAGAATCTATAGATGTACTATAGATGATGATATATTTAAAGTCTGCAATTTTGAGGAACATTATTCTGAAATTGTTTTAGACACAACTTTTCACAGATTGGTGAACCTCTGCCCATCTTTACTTCTGAGACATTCTGACTCTCTCAGATGCTCTTTTTATACCCAATCATGTTACTGACCTGTTGCCAATTAACTTAGTTAGTCGCAAAATGTTCTTCCAGCTCTTTCTTGTTAGTACCTCTTACTTTGGGAGCTTTTTGTTGCCGTGTCCCAACTATTTTGAGACGTGTTTAAATATTTGATATGTTTTATATTTATATTGTGAATATAATTTACGTTTATGAGATTTGCAGATCATTGCATTCTGTTTTTATGCAGATTTTACAAAGCGCCCCAATGTTTTGGGAATTGGGGTTGTACACAGAAAGTGAAGAGAAATCCACACTTTTAGAGGTGAAGGTAGATCACCCAATAGGGACAATTGTTCCTGTCACAACTATTTGAGAAGTAATCTCTCTTTACAGTGGGAGATTTCCTGTCATTTCCTGCTGAATTTCAGAACAGGAAGTAAAAAGATATCTCCCCAATAGGGCACAAGCAGCAAGAAATAAACTGATAGGGGGTTTTAAACCTTCGCTACTCTATCTAAAATTTAAAAAAATAATTGAAAATTAAATTTAAATGAATTAAAATGTAAAACATTTTAGCTTTAACCTAATAAGAGTGTAGTGAAAAGTAGAGATTGTGGTTCAGGAAACAGGGTAGTGGCCAAACAGGCATTGTATGATATCACATTTGTGGACCTGTATAATAAATATACCAGAAAGTTCAGATTTGTATAAAATAGACAGGCAGATATGATAAAAGGACCTTTGTGTTATGTAAAAAATATATATATTTATTTTCTTCTTTTTTCTTTCTAATATTATTTAACAGTGTTTCTTTAAAGATTGACATCCAGCGATGTTATGAGAAAGACTTGACATGGTAGTGGCAGCAGTATGAAATTAGCAATCGATTTGCTGGCAGTTTTATTGGTTATTAATACAGTAATATCATAAAAGCACAAGGTCTTGAATGACCTCTCCTGTTTGATTAACAGCACGCACACCCCCAATCCACATCCCGGAACTGCCTTGAAACTCAACCTGGAGACCTTATCTTATTTAATTAGGATAGTGACTTCAACATTTGCTTCTCCTGCTCCAGTTTGCTAGATGACCTAATGGGGCCACCGGTTCATTTAATCATGTAACGTGTTCTTTAGCTGACATCTTCAGGCTAGAATTATAGAACTGTATCTCGGCCTGTAAATTAATCACCTAAATTGCACGTCATTTATTCATAGGAAACATCCCAAAAGATTTAAAGCTCTCATGTTTGGCACATTCATGTTATTCTGCGTTAATAGCCAATTATTTCTTAAATCTATTGAACATGCTTGATAAAAAAAAAAAACAACCATAAAAGTCATGCAAGCACACTTTACATATTTATTGGACTAATTTCTATGGTAAACAGGTACTTGAATAAATAAGACCAATGCTGAATTTTTGATTGTTATACATACCAAGAAAATGTGATGACATTGCTCAGAGCATAAAGCCCTTTTTTGTGTGTTTAAACCTGCAGGGTTATTCACAAAAGGATGAAGAGTTTGGGGAAGGCAGGATAAATGAATGATCTAGGACAACATAACTGAACTGGAAAGTGAGCTGAATTGGAGAATTTTTACAAATCAGCTATTTTGACCTAGATTGTTCACTTCTCCTGCCTTCTTCAAACTCTTCACCCTTTTAGTGAATAGCCCTGTTAGTGTTATAATAGATAAGTACAGATTGAGTCCACATTACGCAAACAATATGGGTTAAAAAGAAAGTCCATCGAAAAGTGCTTATCAGTTATAGGTGGTGTCTGGTGAGCTCCATGGGCAAGCTCTCGCTGGCATGCAGTTTTTGACTTTAATCTCACTAAACTTATAGTTATGGGTATTCCCCCTCCTCCTGTTACAATGCCCATAGTATGACAATGTTCAAAATAAAAATATAAACAATATAACAAACCATATTTATTTTCTGTGGCCTGACGATTTAACTTTGATCAATCCCTCTTTCATTTCTGACAAGATAAAACCCCAAAGTCCCAGCTATTTTGTGAGGTAGACATTGTCTTATCAAGTTCCATTTAATACCGTGTTTCCCCGAAGATAAGACACTGTTTTATATTTTTTGGGGGCTCCTAAAAAAAAAACTAGGTCTTATATTCGGGGTAGGTCTTTTTTTTTTTTTTTTTTTTAATCAACAAGCCAAAGTTAATGCAAATCCAAATAAAATAATCCAATATGGCAAAGTTAAGAATAGGGTGATCAGGGCAATCAGGGGTCCTTGGTAACGCTGCTTCTCTCCTGCCTCTCCCGTGGCTCTTCAAGTTCCCCCTTATGACACGACCGACCCTGGGAATGGTCACAACTAGGTCTTATTTTCGGTGAAGGTCTTATATTTTAGCAATTCCCAAAAAATAGTACTAGGTCTTATTTTCAGGGTAGGTCTTATTTTCGGGGAAACATGGTAGTTTTACCTCCACTGCCCTGTTATAGCAAATGTGTTAGGTTTCTAACTATGTCTGTGCAGTTCGATAGGCACTAGAGTTAGATCCTCTGTTCTAGGTAATGAAGATTTGGTAACAGAACTGGTTAGTGTGTACTGAATACTATTTAACATCAGTTTGAATGTAATTGGTTAGTTCTGAACACAGCAAGAAGATGGTGTGTACACTTATGCAGTCACATTATTTTATTTTTTTCCTCACTAAACAAGATCAGTTTGTTTTTAATTGAATTGCACAGATTATAAGTCACATTAGAGGTGGAGAAAAATCGCAAGTGATTGATTTTGGTCTGATTTTTTCTTATAATGGTTATGGTTCTCTTGTATAATGTCATTATTTAGCCTGATGAAGGGGACCCTGCGCAGCTCCGAAAGCGCTTTATTGATGACATCTATCAATAAAGTGGATTTGCACTGACGTATATCTTCGTGCTGGTGACATTTGCAATTGATTCTGATTTGTTTTGCATCTCAAAAACCTGCCATTTGTCCAAGAGTGTGTAAACTTTTTATATCCACCGTATGTCTTTACTCTTGTTCCTTGATTTCCCCTATAATTGACTTTGTAGTCTAACGTTACTAACCCTTCAAATTATATAATTTAAATAATTTTTAAAGTAAGATCCACAGCACACCAACACACCTTAGAGAGTTTTGTCAACGGTTTTACTAAGCAAAATGTATATAAGTGTCAAGCATTGCATGAAAGAAGCTCAATAATTAAACAAACAATATTCTGCAAAATACATTATACGTTGTATAATGAGATATACTGCATTGTACTGACTCAATTGCAATCTTTGGCTCTGCACACTCGATTGCAAATGTCCCAGTCCCAATTAATACACAACTTTCTATACTACTGGCCAGTAGCAATAGTCCAGGCTAGCCATTGTTGGGGCCCATATTGTGTTGTGGAAGTGGAATGTAAGAATAACACAAATGGCCAAATGCCTCTCACCACTCTCAGGATCAGTCATGCACTGTGCTGTGCTTCAGCGAGAGACGGGCATCCCCTTTCTCTCGAGTCAACGCTTGCATTGTTCTTAAAGTCAATTGCAGTCCCTTGAAGAAGATCCCCGGTCAACCGATGATACAGAGTAACTTTCTCCGTAGGTACCTGTAGGCCTCCAGCGGATTGCTAGGCCTTGGAATCTCTTACCGCGCAGGCTCGGCTGTTCGTCCAAGCTGCGATATCCCCACTGTAGTGATGACGCGTTATCCTACCGAAAGCGATCCTCTAGCTGTACAGAGCGCAGCAGATCAAGCTGAAGTCTCTCTCTATCCAGAGGCTCTTTAATCTGCTTGCACTCTCCCAGATAACACACACAGAGTATGTGGTCCCTATGTGCCAGCAGCAGACCCACAGCTCTCCCCTTCCCCAGGGTTCTCCGGACTGAGTGCGCTCAGCCGCCCCAGCCCCAACCCCTCCTCTCTCCACACACAGTCTCCTGGGAATTGCAGTCTCCACGCTCTCCCACAGCACAGCTTGTCCCAATCTCTGTACTGCAATTCCCACAAGTTTCTGCATCCCAGGCAGTGTAAAGGCCAGTTAACTGTTTACAATCATGAAATGTGTTAGTCACGTAGCAATACATGTATATAGAGGCTACATAAGTAACATTATATATTATATTTTATAGATATTATAGTTTATATCTTTTGAAATTTAGGGGCATCTGCAACACAGGAATTCGTAAATTTCCAGATGTTACAAAAATCTTCTCAACGCAGCCGAATTTTATTCTGTGAGTAAAAATGTCTTTGCTGTTGTATTATTTTTTATATTTATAGCAAATGTCTGCCTGTTTATAGCGAAACATACACAGGGCAAATCAGAGTGGTACAGAGGCAAAAAAAATAAAACAATGAAGGAAGTTGCTGCAGTTTTTACACTGCACAAATATTTTTAAACATTTCTTGAACTACTAACAATAATGTAATTTTAGAAGTGTGTAAGTGTTGTAAGTTTTGTTTCTATCTTTGGCCATTATGATAATTAATTTGTATGCACTGCACGAACCATAAGAATATTGAGGACGTTCATGCACAGCAGAAACTGGGACCACAACCCCAACTGTTGAAAGATTAGTTCTGAAGACAGACAAAAAATTGACTGTTTGGCAATGGCCATATTATAGGTAACTGAAAGGTGGCTTCTGGGCAGTGTGCTGGGAAACCTTTTGCTGTTATATTTATTTACAGCCAAAAAAATCTGTTATCAATGCAGAAGGTTTTCAATGAACTGCATTTCCAAAAGATATGCAGCTTCACTGTATAGTCAGGTGATGTAAATATATACAATAGGCTCAACTCATTAAACTGGTTAACTCATTAAACTGTACAGAAGGATAAGCAACTTTATTTTTTAACATGTGACAGTACTTTTCAAATCTCATTGGACCTGACTAAAAATAACTGCCACTTTAAAAAAAAAAGGCTTGTTTCTGCAGCAAGAATCTGTGGATTCTTGTGGCTAGAATCAGAAGTGGTTACCTGCGGCTAGGAAAAGCAGCTAGGAACAGATGACTGGCCCTGGATGCAATCTGTCTGTGCCCAGGGCCAGTCATCTGTCCCTAGCTGCAGGTAACCAATGTATGTGCGATCACATGCAAACAGCAGCAGACAGCTTTGGCTCTTTTTTAGCCTGTCATTGCTTTGTACAGGCCAAGAGGCCACATCTGTCTGGAACCACTTGTGATTCCAGCTCTAATGTGCAGATTCTTGCAGCAGGAATCCTCTGCTGGTCCTAATTAGTACATGTGAATGGGGCCTTAGGATCCTTATCCTGGTGTGTTAGCTTTGTGAATTGAGCCTAATGGATCTTGTTATAAGGAAGAAGAATAGAGTTTTGGGCCACAGTAACCAATTGGATTTTAGATAGAAAAAAATAACAGTTATAATGGTGTAGTTTGTATTTTTATACATTATTGGGCAACCTGAATTTATCAAAATCTACAGTTTTGAATACATTTCTTTTTCCAGGGAGATTTATGAGAACATGCATATAACTTTTATACCAGCCAATGCTTTTCAGGAAATGAACAATGACTCTTTGACGCTGTAAGTAAAAAACCTAAAATTACAATTAGAGTATGGTTACATAGGATATAGGATTTCTCTTGCTGTGTTTGCATTGTGCTGACATTTGGGCTCTGTTGCTGTGGGTCACTTTAGAGGTTTGTATTGTGAATGTAGGTGCGGTACACATAACTGCCTTTCACCTGTGATAATTGCATACAAACAATGCAAGCTGCATTTTAGTGCCCTTACAGCAGAGGTATCTACTATGCTAGCAATCACAATACAGATTTATTGTCAATGACCCATGACAAATGTACCCAGATGCAAAGTAAATACCACACAATATAGTTGTGAATTTACCAGTTTTGTTATACATTGTGCCCGTACGACAATATACAGTACTTTTGTAGACAGTTTTGAATGCTTAAATAGTGTTAGAATATTATAGCAAGCAGAAGGCTAGTAAAAGCACAAATAAAATGTAATGTAATAAAATGTAACTAACAAAGACGATATGTTCATCAAATCGTAAAAATTCACTTCTTTTATGCTACTAAAAAAAAGACTCGCACCACCTCTACTTAAGCTGGCCATATACTAGTAGATTTCCCAATAAAAGATCTTTCTTTATCAATGAAAGTTCTTTCTTTACCAACATCAGACACTTGACGAATGTTAAATGAAATTCCAATTTATATTAACATTCAATTTTGTAATGAATGGAGTTTCTCGAACAGAACCACATTCACTGTTACAATTTTGTTCGTTCGAGAAAATGTTTTCATCCTGTTCCTTTGACTTTTTTCATCACTGCGATTGAAATTGATCGTCGATTTGATCCAATCAACTAATAGAAAGTGGAAAGAAAGATTTGTTGTATGAAAGTTAGTTTGGAAATCTACTGGTGTATGGCCAGCTTTAGTTATTTATCAAGCTTTATTCTTCTCTGAGCAACAACATCCCAGCAGACATGTTATCCTCCCAGGACACATTTTGCCCTAATGTAGGGCAAAGTCATTAGAGTGAAATGCATCAGAAGTTGAGGAGCCTGTGTCCGGTGGGATTTATTGTAGCAGTGGTGCAGCTCGTTTTTTGGATATTAAATGTTTTTGGAATGAGACAGATCCCGGGGGCCTAAGCAGCCACAGCTAATAAGCACAGAGCACATTGGCAGCCTAGCAGAGCCATAAACTTGGTTATATGTTTCTCACTAATCCTATTATTTCCTGTGATTTGTTTCCTTGCTGTTTCACATTTCCTAAGCTGCTATTTGTTCTGTCAGTCTTTAATATTTTTAATTGTTCTGTTAAGAGTAAAATTACTTGAAATTCCTCCTCCAAACTGCATTGCCTGTCATATCAGGCCTACAGGCCAGTGTTACCATGGATGGATTGCTGCAAGCACATTGTCATACCAGTCAGGATGATCGTTGGCACTAAGCAGATGCTTTAAGAGTGACCCAAACAATGGACCACCTTCTCAAACTGCAAGCTTACCACTGAGGGGCACGGTTCCCCCAAGAAGGTGCTAATCATCAGATGATGATTAGACCCACACTACATTCTTTGACGCACTGGTGGTACAGAAGAACCCCTATCAACGTCATTATGCTGACGCGTACAGAGAAGAGGAAGCTCTCGCTTGGAAAATTTTCCACTACTTATAGATCTACATGCAGTCATCAGAAAAGTGGAAGATCCCCACGTTTGTGCCAATCCAGCTATGGGGATATCAGCCTACATGATTAGTGCAACTGGCTGATACTATTTGGGAGGGGCTAACTATTGTTATAATTTAATAGAAAATGAAACCATCATCATTAAAAAAGAAGATCTGGTGTTACTCTCACATATTCACTGGCCATAAACCAGCCCAATCCACCCCTAACTCAAACTCAGCTGATAGGACCAGCCAATTTTACTATTTGTTAAGGGAGCGGAGATGTCATTAGTTGTATGCAAAGTAGAGTAATGTAGAATAGAACAAGAGAGCATTTTGGGGAATAGAAAGAGAAAACAAAAAGGTGCAAAACTTTATGAACAGAACTATGAGTCAATATCTGAGGTCATAGTTCATGATTATGCACTTGTATCCTAGAACACACCATGTGTGCCAGCTATTGGATACATAACATATATGAGGCTGACCTTCATGAGACATTATCACATGGTGTTTGTGCAATGTGTTATAAAATCTTTACCATCCCTTTGGATCATCCTCTTTTCACCATAGAGCTAGTGATAAGAATGTCTGTGAAGGTTCTCATTCATCCAGGTCATGGTATATCTGTAAAAATTAAGTCAAGGCAACTGGACTTGCTATATTTTTCTTGAAGACATTTCACTGGTCATCTAACCAGCTTTCTCAATTCAAAATGAGTTGTACAAAAATTATCTGGGAATAAATATGGTGAATGTTGCTCCAATCCACATAATCTGTTAGTCCCAACCAGGTGTTGATTGTATTTGCGTAATTGGAGCTAGGAGGTGTTAATAACCTGCCCAGAGAGAGGTGTTAAAACAGCACTGTATGTTGCAGACAATAGATGTTTCACCCCCACCTCTATTCAAGCTTGAATAGAGGTGGGGCGGTGAGACATCTATTGTCTGCACATACAGTGCTGACAGTGCATACAGGTTATTAATACCTAGTTCCAATTATGCAAATGCCATCAACACCTGGTTGTGACTAACAGATTATGTGGATTGGAGCAACATTCACCATATTTATTTCCAGATAATTTTTGTACAAGTCATTCTGAATTGAGAAAGCTTGTTGGATGACCAATGAAACGTCTTCAAGAAAAATATAGCAAGCCCAGTTGCCTTGACTTAATTTTTACAGATAGTGATAAGAAGGACAATCTGCATTAGCAAAACTATAGAGAGAGATAATCTCACTCAAACCCTTTGTTCATACCTTTAAACCCACTGGCACACAGTGCTCCTGGAGGTACCAAGTTACAATACAATGTGATTCTCCATAGTTAATTGGTGTGCAATGTATTTATTCCTTATAACAATGAATACATTTTATGTGAAACTTCAAACCAAAACACATTTTTGTAGGTTTAGACAGTATGCGGAAGACCTAAAGTACAAAGAGATTTTGGTAAGTTCTGATGTGTGAACAAAACTCTATACCTGGAGTTGGGCTTTATTTCTGCCAGGCTTTTATTTGTATAATTGACCCCATTAGGGAGATTTCCCCTTACTTTCTGTCCATGTGATACTAATGCAAAAAAAAAGGGGGCACAGAAAGCAGCCACTGGGACAGTAAAACATAAAAAGCACTTAAAACATTGTCAGTTCTTCTTACCTTTACCCACTCTTTTAAAAAAGCGTTGTTGTCCCTGTTGGTTAGGTTTCCCATCAGTTCTTGCTCTTTCTAAAAGTGACACATATGGCAATAAAAACATGACACAGCCTCTAACCCTTGTGGCTGTCAGAGTCTTGCAATGGTATTTGTAGTTTGACAGCAGATGGAGAGTCGGAGTTTGCCCACCCCTGCTCTGGAGGTGAGGCAAGGGGCAGGGCCAGCACAAACAGTAATTAGACACTCCAAGAAGAGTAGAAATGGTTTGGCATGCAAGAAGGGTGGGGGCTATGCTAAGGAATGAATACTTTTCCTTGTTGCACTCCTTACAGAAAAATCCCTTGTAGTAGGGGGGGTGCTCGCAGAGACTGCGGGTGGTGCTGGAAATATCAGCAATTGTGTAGAGATGTCACCAGCACACCCAAATCCTTCTTAGGATAAACAAATGTCCATTTATTGAAGTTCCTTGTCATATCATCTTATATGACAAGGAACTTCAATAAATGAACATTTGTTTATCCTAAGAAGGATTTGGGTGTGCTGGTGACATCTCTACACATGTGCTAAGGAATGGATTGTTTTTGAAGGAAGTGTAAAGCTCCTCCGGGGGACTGGATATGGGAAAGGGACGCCCTTATCCCACAACATTAAAACATTAGGCAAGGTGCCTTGCAGGGTAAGGGGGTACCAGGCCTTACCCTCCCCCCACACCCTGCAGGGAACCCAATGTTGAATGGCATGTGGCCTGGCATGGTTCATTCTGGAATGGAGGGACATGCTCTTGCTGCCCTTCATTTACTGGATGGCCAGGCCAGTTCGCTTATTCCTAATACACACACATTTTTTTTATATATATATATAGCGGAGGCCTGGCACTCAGTATATATATATATATATATTGTATATATAAATTGTATTTATCTCTATCTATCTATCAAGTTTATTAAAAATCAATGCAACTGATGTGCAAATCTTAGTACAAAAAAGGACTGCATATTAATTTATATGACTACCAAACACTTAAACAATGTATAAACATGAGTGCATTAGATAGAAAAAGAAAATAAAGGGGGAAAAGAGGACAAGATTTTGTTTTTTGGGTAAGGCAAACAGGAGGCAGATAGCGGGAAAGACATGGGGAAGAGAGTCTGTAATTAGCTATGATTGCTATGGGGCAGCATGAAGGAGAATCCCAAAAGGTAGCATGGTCAGCTGCCTATTCTTCAGGGGCAAAGGGATCTAGTTACCCCCCCATAACAGATATAAACATTTAAATACATGGTAAACTTTTGTTTTTAATTTTAACGGTCCTTGTAGCAGCCTTTATGCAAATAAACATACGTTCAAAGTATATTTCTTTATTTTTTGTCACTGTCAACATTCTTTTGAAGGTTTAAAGTATTGATTGTAGCTATGCAGTGCAGAGATTGTTATTCAGAGTAACAGACCACCAACCAGTCAAGTATGCTTGGTGCCTTATTGACATCTTAGATATCATTTTAATTCTGAATAAGTATACAGGAGTACATTTGCAAATGTTATGAAAACGATATGGTACTTTAGTAATGTCCTTTCTGTGTTAGTAACTTTTTTTTTTACAATATACTCACACAGGAACCTTTACAGGAATGGACTAGAAGAAATACAAAACTATGCATTCAATGGAACAAAGCTGGGTCGACTGTAGGTATAACTATTTTCTAGAGAGCTCCTGGCCGGCCGTTTTTTTACTACGGCCGGCCCGGAGGCAGTTAAGTCAGTCTTTTCAACAGAAGCTGTTTGTGGTATGTGAACTTTGTACCTTCTACACAAAATGACTAGTTATAGTCCCATCATACTCCTTTATGGGAAAAACCTGGCATAAGAGGGTGCTGCAGCAACAACCAACTGGTTAACCGGTATGCAACATAAAGGAGAACATGTCTCTAGCACACCATAGATCCTTGTCAATTATTTGACAAGGATCCATGGTGTGCTGGCGACATATTTTTCTCTTCTACACAGAATGGGCTGATTTTATCTCGCTCGGAGCATGTATGCGAAGAAGTGAAAAGTTTTATTCCTGTGGAGTAAAATGTTGTTTGTAGGGCTGGGAAGGATAACCTCTGACACTCCAGCTGTACAAGAATTGCATCATTGAGCTCAAGTCTCAAGGGTGAACATTACTTAACAGTTGGAAAGATACAGGTTGTCCAGTCCTGATATCTTACATAATTTGTAAACTAGAAGATACAATTAAGAGAAGAACATGTGGAATGAAATTAGGATGTACAGTAAAACCTTGTAATAATTGTATAATGTGGAGAGAGGCAGACTAGGCTGAGTGCCAGGCCTCCGCTTACATAAGATCAGTCAGGAGGTGCAGACAATTTATCAGTCATTGGTGGCATATTATATGACATTAGCCCTGTCCCTGCCAAATGTGTAATGTCATTTTCCTACATGCTGTATGCACAAGAAAACTTGTACCTGGTTTATGGTTCAGCAGTACACTGGCAGATATCCAAGCAGATAAATCTCAACCCAGTAACAGAACTGTGAGAAACACATGCAGTTGCAGTTACAAGCAGTCCAGAAGCCTGAGCTTCTCTGTGCACTATGTATACAAGTAGATGGACATTCTCACATTGGGCGAGGATAACATCACGTATTATGTCATTTACAAAGCCAATGATTTATTTTACATGCTGTCAGACCTCTTTTCTAATATGGTACTCTCTCAGTTATTATTATCATTATTATTACTAGTATTATTATTATACAGGATTTATATAGCAGCAACAGTTTGCGCAGCACTTTGCAATATCAGGAAAACATTATATTTACAATACAAGTCAGGACAAGATGGTTAGGAGGGCCCTGCCCCTGAGGGATTATAACCTAAAAAGGAGGGGCAAGTGATACAAAAGGTGGCTACTGTGTGGGAATGAGTTGTTTCAGAGACTAATAGTTCAGAGGTTAGGTTGAGGTGGGATAGGCTTCCCTGATGAGGAGTCTTCAGGGAACACCTAAAGAGCGCCTAAAGGTCTGGTCCGGTCCAAACAAAATAGTGCTTGCAGCATTTTGTTCGGACCGGAACACAGGCATAATGTGCCTGGTGTTCCCTTGCGGCCGATCGCATTGCGGCCAGGGGGCGTGGCTACGGTGCCATTCACCTCAATGGACCGCAACGCCCCTTCCTGCCCCACAACATAGTGAGCCAGCCACAATGCGATGCAGTGCGTTCTGGCCAGAATCGGGCCGGAATGCACTGTGTCTAGTGTGAACTTGGCCTTAGGGTGATACTTAGAGACAAGGTTGGAGAAATATCTGAGGGCAGAGTTGATGATGGCTTTGTAAGTGATTGTTAATATTTTGTTAACACTGAGTTATTGGTCTCGCTTGGAAAATGCTAGGCTCTCTGGTATGTGACAGTCTTTTGAAACATAGCACCCTTTCTGTGATAACAGATCCGTCTCTGGTAACATGTCTATCTCTCTTGCAACAAGGCAAAGTTTTTGGTAACTTCACAGTCTCTTATAACATGCAGCACTATTTGGGCACATGGCATGCTATCTGGTATCATGTAAATGTCTCTGGTAACACAGCAGCCATTCCAGGAACATGTATATCACTCTGATAAAATAGCAGTCTCTGAAAGCATTGTAGTCTTTCTGGTAGCATGACAGCCCCACTGGTAATGCAGTAATTCTTTCTGGTGACTAAACAGCATCAGTATTTATAGTATTTTCTATGAAATACTAAATTCAGCCTGGGATTGGCCCTTTATTTTAGGCGGCGTTTAGACCTGCCTCCTCCACGCAGCTATACATTCAAATTTTCTCGATTTACCATTTCTGACTACTTGGTAAGGACGATGAGAATGTTTACCAAATCAAAGCAGTTTCTGCTTCGTCCCTGTCTGCTCTGCTCCTTCTAATGTTTTTTAGTCCCTCCTGTTGAAATGAACCAGTGTTGGAGCTCAATAGCTGAACCAGAGATTTAATCACATAACTGAATGTATCAGAGCAATAGGGATGAGCAGAGTGTTTCCAGCAACATTGATTTTGAAGCGACATTAATGATTTCACATCAGCAGAATGTTACTGAAGAAAAGCCTCTCAGATTTGGTCATTAAGCTGCTTAGGTGAATTTCTCTTGAAAAAAAGATCTACACTTCATTTGGAGGGGTTTTTTTTGTTATTTATGCTTACAGAGCTCAGTAGCTGAATGTCAGATTACACCCAGTAAATGAATCCTTCCTCGCACGATCCAAAACAAAATAAATTGATCTAGGTAGAGTTGAAATTTAAGCAGATTTCCATATGTAGTAATTTATAATTATAGTGAAATGTCAGCAGTGACAACTACTTGGGCCAGATTTTAAAGAGGTCCAATGCACACTTCACAATACCCTTTTGTTGAATGTTTCAAAAATGGGGCTATGGAGATGGTGGCCATGGCAGTGTATTGGATGTAAATCTTATTTATAAGCTATTACTGGTACAATAAGAAGACTGTGGACATGTCATCAATCATGTGCACTAGAAAACATACAGGCTCATATATGTGCATGAAAAGGCTATCAATGATCCAATGATCAATGATCCCCATGACCTCAGCTTACAACAAGTTTCATAGCACTGAACCACAAACTCCTGCATAGCTCTCTTGCTATGGCATTTCATACCCAGAATAGAAAGGGCAGATTTTTAGATCTACAGAACTAACATTTTTCTTAAATATTTATCTTTTTTAATAATAATAATGTTGTGTTAGTGGTTGCTTTGTCCACAGTAGCTCTGCTCTGATGTTTTGAATCAGACAAATTTAATAAATGAGAGGCTGGAACTATTTTTTGTAAATTAGAACTTTCTTTTAATTTGAACTTATATTTAAAAATGGTTCTGAATAGCAGATCATATAGGAAGAAAGTAAATGGTAATTTAAGTGTATTTATAACCAAAATATGTTTATTTTGGATAAGGAAGTGAAGTACGGCAGGGTTAAAGTGTATCTAAACTTAGGAGTTAAACCATAAAAATGCATTGAAGTACCTTACCTTTTAGCAAAAATGTATCTCATTTGTGTATCACTCAGCTGTAGATCCTCAAATCATCTCTGAATTCATACTGACACTGTCCTTCCTTCTGGAGGGTGGCAACTTTTGTTCCCCATGGTCCCTGTATGTGTTGTAATGTAGCCACCACTCCAAGCTCGCTCCTGTGATAGACTACAATCTCACATTTTGTTTACTAATTTGTATTGAGATTGTAGTGCATCACAGGATTGAGCTTGGAGCGGTGACTACTTTACAGCACACGCAGGGACCATGGGGAACAAAAGTAGCCACCCTCCAGAAGGAAGGGCAGTATCAGCACCAATTCAGAGATGGTTTGAGGATCTACAGCTGAGTGATACAGTATTGTTAATAGTTAAGGTAAAATAATGCATTTTAAAAGTTTACCTTCTGAGTTTAGTTTTACTTTAAATTAATTGTCAGTTTATTTTTCCTGCCTGTGTCTCATTGTAGAGAGACAGTGGTCAACAGGAAAAATAGTGCCTACAGATAAAAGTGATATACAAATGAAAGATACAATAGGTGTGGTTTATTTATTCTCATACTCTAAATTAAAGACAAACTTTACCTTTCTGACCACAACAGGAGCTCTTTAAAGCACATCAGCTTACAGCCGTGTAGATATAATGTCCTCCCAATATAACAGGCTTTTAATATTTATAGGTAATAACACCATAGACTGTTGATCCAGGGAATATCCGGTTTCCTTAGGGGGATCAGGAAGATTCTTTTTCCCTGTTAAAGAAAAGTGGACAATGTTTTATAAGGAATGTTTGCTTTGCCTGGATCAACTGTGGGTTTAGGGTTCTAAATATGCAGGTTTTTTTCTTATGTGTTTATAAATTTTTCTATTGGTTGAATTTGAAGGACTTGTGCCTTCTTTCAACATGACTATGTAACTACTGTATATACCTAAGATACATTTTCTGCTGTACATAAATCATATAGAGAAGAATTTGCCCTGAGTTGAGCTTTAAAAAATGTTTTAAAAAAAATTACCATTAAAAGTGAGTCTTATATCTACCTAGATTTCTGCTTTTTAGGTTAAAATTGCTGTAAAAGCACAAACTATGTGATCACAGATAATATATTACAGGTTATCTTTAAATATTGGCAGCATACAAGCTTCCTACATGGGCACGTTTTATTTTACTAAACATGCACTTATGTTTTAACTTAAAGGAGAACTATGAGATGAGTGATTTCTACTCACGTCATAGTTCTAGCCGACCTGTGACAATGAGACTGTCACAGGTCGGCTCAGTAGATCGGGAGGTGAGCGAACAGATACAGGCGTTCGCTTACCTCTCGATCTCTTGGCTTTCTGCCGTGACAGGGGGGGCTGGATTCCCCCCTCCCCGCTCCGATCCGCCAGCGCTGACTGGCGGAACGGACGGGGGAGGGGGTGGGTACAGCTGGCTCTGCCACTCTGCTGTCACTCACGCAGCTGGGCGGATCTCGACATCGATGTCGGGATCTGCTCCGGCGTCTCAGTATACCGCGAGCTGTAGCTCGCAGTATACTGAGCTTAGGGTAACGGGAGGACGCTAGTTTGTGTCCTCCCGTTACCCTAAGGAGAACTATGGGGAAAAACACTGACCCCCATAGTTCTCCTTTAATACAATTAATATGTCAAGGCAAAGAATATTGAAAGACCTGGCCATCTATCCAGAACCATTTTATAGAATATAATATGATTTAGTTAAAAATGAAAATCATAAGCATTGAAAGAACTGCAATGTATTCTCACGTCAATGTAGATATTTTGGTCAATTGGCTACAAGCAACAATTAGACACTTTTAAATCCTGTGTGTAACACTAGGAGAAATCATTACACTCAAGGCAGGAGATGACTATTAAAACTGAATCCCTGTTGAGAAAATGTACTGTAATTAATATCTGTTGCATGCAGGTCTCTTAATGACAACAAAAATCTACAACGTTTTCATAATGATGCCTTAAAGGGAGCTACTGGACCAAATCTTTTGTAAGTACAATAATCATTTCTTTTTTTTTTTTTGTCACTTCAAGACATGTAATAATTCTTAATACCGTTTCTTCATTTTCTATATTCATAGAATGTATAATCAGTATGATTAGTGAACAATGTCCGATCTGTACAATCTACTCAGAAAATGATTTCTTTATTAAGACAAAAGTATCATATCAATGTTACTGTTTATGATATAATGAAAAGTACTAATGTAAACAAACCTATAATTAACATAAGTCAGTTTATATTGAGGTCAGTTAAATGAATCAATAATATTTCAAATATGATATTAAGAAGCATTCGAGCATTACATGTTTATAACGTTAATACAGGTATTTTACTTTAAGGGCCCGTTCACACCAGATGCAGTGCGTTCTGGCCCGATTCTGGCCAGAACGCACTGCCTCGCATTGCGGCTGGCTCACTTTTTTGTGGGGCAGGAGAGGGCCTGCGTTCCAGAGCGATAAAATAGTGCTTGCAGCATTTTAATCGCACCGGACCGGAGGCATAATGTGCCTTGCGATCCCGTGTGGCCGATTGATTATGGCTGGAAGGCGTGGCTACGGTGCCATTCACTTTAATGACCCGCCACGCCCCCTCCCGCCCCACAAAAAAGTGATCCCACTGCATTGCGAGGCAGTGCGTTCTGGCCAGAATCGGGCCGGAACGCACTGCATCTGATGTGAACCTAGACTGAAAACAAAACCAAGTTTATTTCTCAAATATGGTCATTGGAATAGACCCCTGTCAATTTATTTTTTCCTGTCCTTGTCCTGTTGGGGAAATCTCACTACCTGTCCCAGGGGCATAACAGGAATTGAAAGGAACTCCCTACCAGTAAATGGAATTGTCCTCTTAGACAGTTGTCGTCATTTCCCATCATTTTCCGTCTTGGTGACAATGGTCACTAGACTTGTGCGCCGTCAAAAAATTTGTTCCGTTTCGGAATATCCGTTATTTCGTATTTGGTAATTTGTGTCCGAAACTCAATTCGGATTCGTACGAAATACGAATTTTCGTTAGTTTCGGCACATTTTCGTAACTGTACGAACATTCGTTATGATGAAGTTAAAAAGCAAAAATACCTTTGTTAATATTGGAGTCGATGTGGTAGTTGTTTTTTTATCCGAAATACGAATTCCGTTAACGGATTCCGGATCCGAATTTCGTATTTCGGATAAAAAAAAATACCATCAACTCCAATATAAATGTACTTTGCTTTTTAACTTCAATATAACGAATGTTCGTAACGGAACGAAAATACGTCAACGGAATTTCGTATTTCCTGCCTGTATTGGAATGCAACTGTCAGCAGAAGAGAAAACCTCTGATTGGTCAACCAAACGAAATACGAATTCCGTTAACGGATTCCGTATCCGAATTTCGTATTTCGGATGAAAAAAAAACTACCATCAACTCCAATATATTAACAAATGTACTTTGCTTTTTAACTTCAATATAACGAATGTTCGTAACGGAATGAAAATACGTCAACGGAATTTCGTATTTCCTGCCTGTGTTTTGTAATGCAACCCTCAGCAGCAGCGGATCCGTATTTCGGATTAAAAAAAAAATCTTGTCATGTTGTTCAACCTCATTTACAGGGGTAATATTAGTTCCTGTTTCAAATAAATTCGGATCCGAAATTCGTTAACGGGAATAATATAGCTCTTACTGTACTTCCAGGCCTCTCAGATGTAAATCTCCACATCTTTAGGTCCTAGCGCTGTGATCGTGTTTCTGCCCCCTCTCCTGCATGCCATTCACAAAACACACAGCCCCCGGACATCCTTTTAAGAATCAGCAAGGCAGGATATTGTCTATGGGACCTGCAGCACATACATCAAAGCAGCCCAGAAGTACTGTAGGAGCTGTACTAATCATAGCAGGTAAACAAGCAGATTTGGCAGATGTAGACAAAAGCCTGCATAATGTGAGGTTGCTTTTGAAGAAGGCAAGGTTTAATTACTTTAACCCTGGTAAGGTTTTTGTGCCTGAAGTTGGGTTTAAAGGTTCGTTGTGAGTGCTGAGCAGTCGAAATGCCATAAATCTGGTTATGTCTCCATTCATGCCTTATCTATTGTTCATTGATCAAAGTCATATTGGATTTTTATAGGTTAAGTAACTTCTAGCCATCGTTTTTCAAGCAAGGAATAAGTAAATGCTTCCACGCAGATAAATATTTTCCCAGACATGATCACACATCAGGGGGGGCATACTGTGAAAAATAGATTACCTCTACTGATATGTTTAACCTTTAGATGTAAGTAAATCAATATGCACTAATCCAAATTCACCCTTAATCTTTTAAATTGACACCTATGGACGAAGGATAGATTAGAGTTGAAAGATGTTGTGTCTCTCTTTTTGAGTGTTTTTTTTTGTTACAATTTACATCAATGTTTGAGAGAAGCTTTATGAACTATGATCACAATTTCAGTAATAGTAATTCCTGACATTGTCATGACATAACATAATTCATGACATGACATAATTTTAGGCTCCAATACTGCATGCGATCCCACATCACATGTTGCAATGTAATGTGCACTGCTGTTATTTCTTATTAGCACCCCAACACCATGCGATGTGTTGTGATGCGATTAAAAAAAAAAATGTGCTCTTTCTTGTTTGAGTGCAATGTAGCTGCAGTAGACAACCCATTCAGCTCTGTGATGTTGCAAAGGAGTGACTGGGGGACGACTTAAAAGTGTTGACATAAATGTGACATAAAAGTGTTGATTTTTTTTATCTTAGAACCAAGATAAATTCTAAAAAATAGATAATACACCGATATTATTTTCCCCTTACAGAAACATATCATCAACAGCCTTAGAGCAACTTCCCATCCATGGACTGGAATTTATTCAGGTCTTAGTCGCAGAAAGATCATATTATCTAAAGAAGTTACCTGCACTAGACAAGCTTGCTAACTTGGTGGATGCTCAACTAACATATCCAAGCCATTGTTGTGCTTTTGCAGACATGAAAATGAAAGAGTAAGTATCAGCGTTTGCTAAACAGTCAGATTATAAATTGCATCTTCTAAAATTTGAAGCACGTGATCATTGTTTACATTTTTTTTTTGCTGTTCCATTGTGGAGATGTGCCTTCACTTTGTGTGCCAAAGAAAAAACCTGAAGTGAGAGGAGGCAGTTAGGAACTAATTAGACAGTTGTCATTTGAGCAAATGTCTACAATGGAAGATTTCTCATCAGCAGTAAGGTTGGGCTCGATGTTCGAGCCGAACGTGAGTTTGTGTGTTTGCCGCAATGCGCCTTTTGAAGCCACAGGTCAGGTGCAAGACTGTGCCCAATTAGTGTACATAGAACTGTGAGAGACATGATTGGGCAAAGTCATGATTACTCTGCCCAATCATGGCTCATCAGTCACAACTGTAAACACTTGGGCAGAGCTAGCTGTCACTGCTAGCTCCACCCAATTGTTTATAAGTTGCCGACATCTGTCAAAATGCCATTCTGTGGCAGGTGTTCGTCGCAGCAACGGGATGGCGTCGTTTTCTTAAAATTATTATTTCTATTTATTTTTTACTGTTTTATTTTTTATTTTGTCGAGTCGTCATTGACGTGGACAACGCTGGACGTCATGAGTGACCCTGGATTACATCGATGGATCAATTAATTTTTTAGAATAAAGGACTTGTCAAAAATCCTTTGTTTTTGCATTTTTTTCCAAATAAAGGATTTTTGATAAAGGTCTGGTGTTTTTATTTTATCTTTTATTTAACCCTTTTGTGAATGGGTAGGGGTACAAGTATCCCTTACTCATTCACAAGGGGGGGGGCACATCTGGGTGCCCTTTTATGTGAAAAAGTCCCCTGCCCGCACCCCCACAACCCTTAAGGGCCTGGTTTGACTTCAAGGGGGAACCCCACACACTTTTTTAATAGTTTTTTTTTTTTTTTTACATGGGGTTCCTCCTAAAATTCCTAACAGACCTTAAGGGGCAGGTATGACTTTGAGGGGGAACTCCACACTTTTTTTTTTTTTAAATGGTCCCTCCCAACATTCCTACCAGACCTTAAGGGTCTGGTATTGTTTGGGAAGGGGAACCGCACACTTTAAAAAAAAAAATGTCATTTATTTTCTTTACAAATGTCAGTTTTCCTGCAGAGGGTTCTCTACATCCTACAGATCCGCCACTTTACAGGCAGTTTAAGGGGACCCCCCCAGGCACGATATTTAAAGGAATTTTTCATTTTTATTGTTGCCCTTTAAGTGAAAATCACACAACTTCTATTGCCAATAAATTGCATATAAGGCTTCAAAATGGGGACATTTGATTTTCAAAGTTCTACCCCATAGACTTGCATTGAGTTCGAGTTCAAATTCGAACTTTTCCCATGTTCTAAAGTTTGAATTCGAACCGAACACGGGGGTGTTCAGCTCATCACTAATCAGCAGTTATTGTAATAACAGCTATAACATTATGAAGAACGCCCGGGTAATTTTTTTTTATAAACCCTTGCAGTGGGGCTACCCCAGCACTGCGAGGATTACCAGCATATTTTGATCTAGGGCTGAAACTTACAAAGTTATACTCACCTGATCCTTTTAGTCGGCTTGCTCTTAGACTGGTCCCTGGAGCCCCTTTCCACTGCAGTGGTCTAATGTCCCATTGCTGCAGTGTAGGAGGAGACAGGCTTCAGGGAGCGCTGTCACAGTCAGCAGGCTTGGAGGATCGGGTGAGTATACAGTATATCCTCATTAGTTGTTAAAATAAGAAAAAATCCAGTTAGATTTCTAAAGGCTAAGAGAGCAATATTGTGATCCAGGGAGTGCATAACCAGACAGGTTATGGTAAAGGTGGCCATATTGAACTTAATAGTTCCACTGAACTAGTGTGAAGTATCTACAATGCAGGGACTAGCTCTTAGATGGGTTGGGGAGGATTTTTATTTATGTTTGTCCGCCTGTGTGAAAAAAATTGGCAACCATTGCACAGTTTTTTTGCTTTGGCCTTCTCGGGTCTAAAGTGGGGTAAACATATTTAAATTTTTTTCAACGAAACTCAAATGTAAAAAATAGAACCAATTCCTCCAATTTTACTGTACAATGTTAGAAAACAAAATACGGTAATTATAAAATTGATGGCAGCAACATGTCTCAAAAAAGTTGGGACAGGGCCATGTTTACCATGGTGTAGCATCCACTCTTCTTTTAACAACACTCTGTAAACATCTGGGAACTGAGACCAGTTGCTGGAGTTTTGGGAGAGCAATATTGTCCCATTCTTGCCGGATATAGAATTCTAAGTGCTGTTGGTCCTGGGTCTTCTTTGATGTATTTTTCGTTTCAAAATGCCCCAAAAATTTTCAGTTGGTGAAAGGGTTGGGCTGCAAGCAGGCTAGTTAAGCACCCTGACTGTAATACTACAAAGTCATGCTGTTATCATAGATGCAGCATATGGTTTAGCATTGTCCTGCTGAAATATGCAAGGCCTTCCCTGAAAAAGACATTGCCTGGATATATCTTTCACCATCGATGGTGCCTTTCCAGATGTGCAAGCTGTCCATTCCATACACACTAATGCACTCCCATTCCATCAGAGATGCAGGCTTTTGAACTGAGCTCTGATAACAAGCCAGGAGGTCCTTCTCCTCTTCAGTCCAGAGAATGAGGCGCCCATGGTTGCCAAAAAGAATGTCACATTTCGATTGGTCTGATCACAGAACAGTTTTACACTTTGCGACAGGCCATTTTAAATGAGCTCTGGCCTAAAGAAGACAACAACATTTCTGGATCATGTTCATATATGGCTTCTTCTTCTTCTTTGCATGATAGAGTTTTAACTTGCGTTTTTGGATGGCATGGCAAACTGTGTTCACAGACCGTGACAATGATTTTTGGAAGTATTCCTGAGCCCATTCAGTGATGACCATCAAAGAATTGTATTCCATCTAAGGACCCAAAGATCACAGGCATCCAATATTGCTTTTCGGCCTTTCCCCTTGTGCACAGAGATGTCTCCAGATTCTCTGAATCTTTTGATGATATTATGTACTGTAGATGATGATATCTTTAAAGTCTTTGCAATTTTACATTGAGAAACATTATTCTGAAATTGTGTGACAATTTTTAGATGCAGATTGGTGACCCTTTGCCCATCTTTACTTCAGAGACACTCTGACTCTCTAAGATGCTCTTTTTATACACAATCAAGTTACTGACCTTATGCCAAGTAACCTAATTAGTTGCAAAATGTTCTTCCAGATCTTCCTTATTATTACCACTTACTTTGTAAGCTTTTTGTTCCCTGTCCCAACTTTTTTGAGACATTTTGGTGCAATCTATTTCAAAATTACCTTTTTTTTTTTCTTAAAATGGTACATTGTCTCAGTTTAAACGTGTGATATGTTTTCTATTTTCTATTGTGAGTAAAATATGGGTTTATGAGATTTGCAAATCATTGCATTGTTTTATGTAGATTTTACACAGTGTCCCAACTTTTTGGGAATTGGAGTTGTATAAGTAATATAAGTATGCTTTTGTAAAATCCATTGAAGGAGGTTTCAGGAAAACTGAAAATCCAATTTGTTCAGAAATTGGGGTCCTCCTGTGTGGTAATATCTGCAATGTTTGAGTTTTCTTGAGAAAGAGTACACCAGCTACGCCACTGAAAGACAACCATAAAATATGCATTACTTAACTGGTGCAACTCTAGACCACCAAGTAGAACAATCAATAGCAGGACCAGTCCCACTGATGTTTATTAGGGGACAGTAGGATGTTACAACGTTGGGGGCAAATCAAACAAGGGATTTTCATTTTTGTTGGAAATAACTGTTCAGTGGAGTCTCCATAGGAAACGATGTATATGAAAAATGTGGGTTTTACTGAACAACAAAGAAATAACTCAGATAACATATGCTATCTTTAAGTGATAAAATAGAAAGAATTTCTATTACTTATTTGTAAAAAATGTCAACAGTCATTTTAAATAAAACATTGAAAGTTCTTCAAGCAGGTGTACAAAATTCCTCACATATTCGAGTCTGAATAAATCACCTGTAGCATTCCACAGGAACCATAACCGGGAACATTGTGTTCAAGTTTGGTGATTACACAAAGAATACAAATCAAGGGGGTCAAAACCAGAAATTTTCAGTTTTTAAGAGTAAACCTTGGTTTGTTTGAGCTTTTGCTACAAATTTGAGATGATGTACAATGGAAGGAAAACTGGTAAGAGTGTTACCTTAATTATTAACAAGGTAGAGTATCGTAAACGACAAATCGGGGGTGACAGCAACAGGTCCATTTAAAAAAAGATTTGTTATGTCATAAGAAATATCTAGAAATGGTAATTGTGCCTAAGCCGTCCCATAAAAATATCACCTTTTGTCTTGAATTCCCATTGAAAAATATGAGTGCGCTTTGTGATATGTGACTGTGCCTCGGTACTCCTGTTCTGTATATCTGCAGTCTGAGATGATTTAGGGCATTGCTGTCTCTGACCTCTAGTGCAGATTTGGAGCGAGATTTGGAACTGTCATTACTGTGCTGCTCACTGTCCTCCTTGTTGGAAGGGAAGCTGTACCCAAGGACATTTGATCTGTGGTATTGTGTGGCAATCCCACTGTAGAATTGTATGTGATGAGCACCTGGGACTCTCAGCCAGATGGGCTGAGATGTGTCAGGAAGCAAGGGATTGTCTGGATTCTGCTTGTCATCCCGGAACTGGGAGGTTTCAAGGGGATTTTGGAGGAAAGATGAGATGCCCAGGCCTAGATCCAGGCTTTAGCAGTGGCCAGCACCCGATGATTGCACAGGTGTGCACAACCCTTAAGGAAAGGGTGCTGTCTAGGGGAATTAGCTCCTGCTGCGAAAGAGGAACAGACCGTTTTCAGGTGTCTGGAGAATGCCCCCAGAAGTCAGAGAGGAGTCACACTAAGACAGCCAGGGAGGCTGGGAGAGGACTGGTGAGGCTAGGAGAGCTGTGAGCCTGAGGGGCCACCAGTACAAGTGTGGGACAGCACTTC